AGATCCAGTCAAATGGAAAGCTGTTCGGAGAACATGAATTCTCAAGTAGTCTGCTGTCAGGAACTTTGAGGCAGACCCAAATTCATGCTGCTTGGAATTGAGTTGCGTGTGCTGCTTAGCAACTGTAACATTCTCTTGTTGCTCGTTCTTCTGCTGTCAGTTTTGTAGCATGAGATGTAAGGAAATGAAGAGAAATAGGCGGTGCTGATGGCTGTGCGTCCTTTGGCTTTTCTTGAGAAGATGACGTAAGGTAAATGTGAGCTCATCTCGTACTGCACGACTTGGGGCAGGTCTCTGAGCACAGGTGGCGGGGCGTTCAGCAGTCACACGTGTGCTGGCTGCACTGAGAAGGGCCTGCTGGTGTTCCTCGCGTCGCACTCCTGCCTGCTGTCCCTGCAGGGAATGCCTGCGTTGTGCCACAGGTGATTGGGGACTCAGAGGTACGTGTTTGTCTTCTGTCCTCCTGTGTGGCACGAAGAAGAAGCCATGTTCTTACAGCCTGTGATCTCTGTGGAGTTTGAAAAGCAGCTGGAGATCGGAGGGTGGGATTCCTTATTTTTAATTTTTCACAAATGTAAAATAGAAGCAGCTCTTTGCTTTCAGCTGCTCCAGGAGTTGTGCTTTTGTAGGTTGAGGTCCATTAAAATGATGAGAATATGCTTAATGTAAACATGCATGTTTCTTTTAAAAGTAGGTTGATTCTCAAGGTTACTACTAGTGCTTGAATGAATACTATGCTTATTTATCTTAAGAAATGTTAGGAATAAGCGGAACAAGGTATCAAAGACTTCTGTTACCCCTAATTGTTCACAACTGGGGGATAAGAGTACGTCCAGTGTTAGAAAATGACACAGCTGGATGTCATTGAATCTGAAACTGCCTGCTTTGTCCCTTCCTCGAGCCTTTGCTCTTAGGAAGGTGTTCTGTAGCTGCTCCCAACCTGGTTGGCCAACTGTATCACAGTACTGTTATTTTGCATACAGCATTCTAAAAAATAAGTTCAGGTTGTTTGCATTGTAACGTGATAAATGCCAGCACGTCGTGGAAACATCTGCAGTTGAGCTAAATGCAGGCTGAGCGAAGAGCCTGAAGGTCTTTCCAGATCAGCTGCTCTGGGAGCCATGCTTTCCTCTCCAGACTGCAGGCCGCATTATTCAGTATTTCAGGGAGATTATCTCTGACTGTGCCCTTGGAATCTTGTTTCCACAGCAACGCGAAGCTGCTGACAAAACATCCCTTTTAAACCTGAGATGGGTCAGTTCTGAGTTGTAATCGTGGTGTGTGGTGTCGGCCGCAGCGCTTCATACCTCTGTGTCTGCGAGTGGCTGCAGGACGGCATCGGGCTGCTGACCCCACAGTGCAGCCGAGGGGCGAGCAGAGGAGGCGGTTGTTTGTCAGCATCTGTGTGAAGAAGCAGCCCTCTGTGGGATGTGGCTGCGGCCAGGAGCTGGCTCCTTTCTCCCAGCAGCTGCGGCATGCTCTCACTTGTTCCAGCTCCGAAATGAAACGTGTGAAGAAAAGAAATGGGCGGGAGAGCGTGCGGCAGCCTCTGTGGTAGCAGCTGAGCTTTGGTGCTCGTCCTGTACTGCGTGGTGACAAGCTCTCCTGCCCTGGGAAGGGCTTAATGGCAGAGGGGCTGCACGCCCGCCGCTCATCGCAGTTGGTTTGCGGCCAGAAGCAGCCCTGCCCTGGGTTGGACCGCAGTGCCTGGGCTGTGCTGCCATCAAGGCCGGCTCAGAGCAGCGTGGCGCGGCTCCCCAGGCCATGCGTGCTCATCTGTTTGCTTTGTGCTGCTGTGTGGGATGTTCTGTTTAGTCAAAACTTTGTCATATATTTACCTTAAATGTATTACCTTAATACTGGGAATGATGAACGGTAGCGCTAGGGCTGGTATTGATTTGTACACGGTGTCTGGAAAGGATCTGGCTAATGGTGCTGCTGTAGGCTGTCACAGGATGGTAGCTGCAGCTTGAAATAGGAATAATGTGTATGCTGGAGTTGGGCTGTTTAAATCAGAATCAGTTTAATTTTATCACGTTACAGATAAATAGCATTCACAGCTGTGGTTGCATCAGCTGGTGAAGCTGCACATCGTGATGGGTGAAAATCCTTCCTTCTGAATACGTAGTGCTGGTAACGAGATGCACCATCATGGGAGTAACCCAGAGCCTGTAGGGCGTGATGTGCAGCGGTGAGTGTATGTTAAGGGTTATAAACTAGAAGCTATGGATTGGCACTTAGAAAATTACTGGTATGAGAATTGGTGTTCCCAGTTCATGGATCTCTGAAAAGCCGGCAGGTTCTTGGCTCTGGGAGGCAGTTGGTTGGCTGCTTCAGTGAAAATAACAACATTTACAAGATCCAGCAGAGCCCAGTTAGGCTGTGCAGCACTTCCAGACAGTGCTTCCAGAGTGTGGATTATCCAAATTAAGGTCGTGCTTTGGGATGTATGTGTGAAGCTATTTCTTCTTGAACTGTAGGGGGAGCTCAGGCAATTGTTTGTCGTAAGATTAGATCTGTAATTCTGGCTAAGGCTGCTCAAGGTGAATCCTGTGTTAGGTGGTAAGTAGGCTGTTCATTAACAGCAGTGAGTTTTTGCATTGGGGTTTTGGATTTGCATTTCCTGTTATTGCCAATGGACTCCAAGCAATGTGTTCTGTGTTCCTTCAGCTGCTCTGGGGAGCAGCACTGGTGTTAAAGGTTGTGAGGAGTAGGAGGGGCTGTGGGAAATGGTTGGGTCTGGCTTGCAGAGTACAAAGTTACCTTAGTGTGCAGTGATTCCTATGTCATGACATTATGTAGCAGTATGTAATCTCACAGGCTGCATATGGGTGCGGTGGCAGCACGCATGCGAGTGGGAACACGTGACTTCAGTTCTGCTGAATTCAGTCTCCTGGGTACCTTTCATGGATAGGGACCTGGTCTTCTGCCTAAATTACAGGGAAGAGATTGAAGCTGTTAGTGGCCTAACCTGTCTTCTGTGTCTTTTAATTTTATTATCAGCATCTTTGGGGCCTTTGTGACCCACCTTTATGTGAGAATCAGCAACGTAGACAGACATCCAGTACTGCAAGGGATTAAGACTTTATTTAAGCAGCATCAGTTGTACATGTTGGGCATTTTGCCTTGTTCTACTTGTCATAGCTGCTCCTGGCTGATGCATATGGTTCTTCATTGTGAGAGCAAAATAGGCTTCAGTCAATACAAAGAAAAGAATAAGCTTATTTAAAACAATAGAATGATCTATAAGATTCTTTTATTTCATTCCCAAGTACAGGCTGTTCACGCTTAAGAATCTCTAGCTTTGTTTTGTGCTGGTGACTTCCTGTACTGGCCTGCTGGAAGCACCTGGGGACGTCCTGAGCAGCCCAGAGAGCTGCCACTGGGGAGGTGGCATTTTGTTATTGTTTGGTTTGGGACTTGTGAGTGCTGATGTATTGGATACACATATGTACTAACAGCAGGTGTAATGAATACTTACTGCGTGGAATTTCGGAGCACTTCGTGGAGCCTGCAGTTCAGTGTTTCTGGAGGCGTGTAACATTTGCGCTTGGTCTGTGCTTATAGATGAGTTACAGGTCTAAGCAGGTCGAAGTGATTCTGTGGGGGCGAGGGAGTGAAAGGGATGTCACTGCATGTATATGAGCTACATGAATTTACTGGCAGCATAAATTCTGTATCATTTTTGGCAATAAAAGTGAGAAATGTAAATGTTTTTGAGACAGCACTGTACCTTCAGTATGCAAAAACATGTTATTGCACCATAAGCGTGCTTTGTGGTAGAAGAACCTTGAAGGAGCCAGACATCAGAGTTCCTTTCAGTCGTCCTCTTCTGATTGGATTTTCATATCCATATTTCATTCCGGCTCATCTGCTTGCCAGATGCTGCCTAAGGCCAAGAAGGAAGGTCCTGGGATTTGATGGTAAAAAATCCGTAGGATGAGAAGCGTGGTTAGCTGGCAGCATGGCTGTATTTTCATGTGAAATGGCTGAGGCCAACGAATGTCTAAATATAAGCTTGATAAGTATTTTTTAAGAATTCTAAAGTAGTGAATAAAAAACCTGAAAGGAACAAGCGATCTTTATATATTAAAAATTACGAACATTTAAATTCTAATTATGTTAAAAGCATATGGTAATGTAACTAAAGAGAAATTATTATAATGAGATCTTTGCCGTTCGTGTAAACAAGACCTTAAAGAACGTGCTAGAAAGCCTTGTAACCATTCGTAGCCTTTTTGCTCAGGATAACTGGAGGCTGCGGTTTGGAGATCTGCGCCTCCTGCACAGCCTCACTGCTGGGCCGGGGGCGGCGTCCTCGTGGCTGGGGGGCACTGTGAGCGGGAGGCCTGAGCTCCTGTGCTGGTGCAGCCCTGAACGCTGCCCTGCGCTTCTTTCCTCAGTGTGCCCTAAGCGGTGCTGCTGCAGGGCTGCTCCTTGCTGCCCTTCGTGCGAGTATGTTATTTTCTGGAGCTGTTGTCCTTGGAATTGAACTGGGAGAGGCGTCCTCACAAGTTCTCCATTCCCTTGTTCAGAAGTACAGAAAATGCAGTTCAGTGGAGGAGTGAGACATGGTGTAGGATTCTGCTGCTTGAAAGATGGCTTCGGAGAGCTTTTCCAAAGTGAATGGGTTAACCCAGGATTAACTTCTTGTCTAAAATTTCTTCTTGATCACAGTGTACAGGAAGAGTCAAACTTAATTTTTCCACGGGGCAGTGAGGAGGTGAATGTGTCTGTCTTTGTTCAGGTACTTGGGACTCAGCAGGCTAAAAGTTGGCTGCCAAAGGTCATGACTTGTAGGTACCCAAATAAGCTGAAAACAGAAAAGATATTGTTGCGCTGTCATCAACTTAAAAGATACTTGTTACTGTCTCCTGCATTTGATAAAAATAAATGTAAAAACAAGAGAGCAGTCCTTGAGCAGTAGAATTAACATTCTTGCTTTCTGAATTGAATGAATGAATTTTGACTTTTAACACGAATTATTGGTTCTGTTCTAGTTCTGCCTACGACAACGTCAACAAAGTTCGAGTTGCTATAAAGAAAATCAGTCCTTTTGAGCATCAGACGTACTGCCAGAGAACTCTGAGAGAGATAAAGATCTTACTGCGCTTCAGGCATGAGAATATTATCGGAATAAATGATATTATCAGAGCTCCAACTATTGAGCAAATGAAAGACGTGTATCCTTTCAGAATCTGTTGTGCTTAGTGGTTGATACCTCCTTCTCTGTTTTCATTAGATCCCTCTTCATCCTTATCCTTACTAAATTTTAATAAAAGCTGGCTTTTATTACTCTAAACTGGAATGGGAGTTCATAGTATTTGATGGATTTGTAGATGCGTTGGTTGATAGGTTTGATTCCTAGATAAGTGCGAGGTTTGTTTTTTCTCCATATTTAAAAAAAAAAACAACTCCAAGGCAAAGAACTCAATGTGCATTTAGTGCAGTCAGTCTTTGAACTGTCATTGTATGCAGAACCTTTGTTACAACTGTCAGATTGCTTCAAGGAGAAAATGGAATGGTAAAGCTCTGATGTAACTGTCTAAGACTTTCCTAAAGAATGGAAAGGATACCTTTGGGGCAGGGGCTCGAGAGGCCAGGCATCCCTCCACTCTCACTGTAGCCTTGCAGTGCTTCTTGCATATATGAAGTCTGAAACTACTCACAGGCTGGTAAATGTGTACTCGCTGTTGGCTTCACGTGTATATCGAACATACCAAGGCTGTTACAGCTGAGAGGTTCTGCCCGTGGTACCAACCTTAGTTTGGAGTCAGCTCGCATCGTTTCACTAAGTCTGTATATATTGTTTCCTTTTGGCTTCACAGATTTTCACAGATGTCTGCCTGTTTAAAAGCACAAGGCATTGAATTGAACTGAGGTCAAACGTTCTCACTTCACTAATTAGCAGTGTGCTCTTTGAGTTCAGTCTTCCGTGGGACTCTGAGGTTGCACTTCTGTGGCCAGTTGCTGCTGTAGGCGTGTGCTCTTAAAAAGATGTCGTGGTGGTGTGGTGTGATGGCAGCGTGCAAAGGAAGGGATGGAAACGCCCAGCTGAAATGGCAGTAGTAGTGGCTGGCGTTTGGGGTTGTGGGTTTGTTAGCTTTTTTTAATCCTATTTTGGGGGAAAACTGTTGTGGAACTACACTCCGAGAGTTTTGGAGTTGAGTTGAATTAAAGGAAAGGAAATTTTGGCTCAATTCATTTTTGTCAAAGCAGAATTAAACCTTTTTGTGTTAATTTAAGCCTTAGGAAAGAATAATGTGATGAAAGATACTAGAATTTAACTTGAGCACAGTCTTTGCTTACCAATGTGGTATGATAAACATATAGTAAAGGAGAACGTTTTGGAAGTGGCGGAGACTGATCAGAAGTGATTGGATTTTCCACCTTGAAGTGTTTGTGCAGCAGGAGCTAATATCTCAGCTTATTACTCACGAAATGAAAACAACTTGGATTTCTTGGCAAGCAGGATAGAAAGCTAGTCGCAGTAAGATTCCAATGAAGATCAGTCTCTAATATAAGGAAATAGTTTGATTATCTTCAGGGGACCACGAGCTGGTGCCTCTTAATTCTCTGAGGGTCTCTATCACTTATCAGCATTGATTTGATTCAAAGTCTGTAAAGCAAGAATCAACCAAGTAGTTCCAATTGTTGTGAAGCAAAGGAAGAAAAGAAAAAAAATGGGTTTAGAAGTTTCATTTGGTACTGTATGTTGATATTTAACGTGCCACCAGCTTTGTTTTGCTGCCTTACATCTGATTCCTTACAGATACATTGTGCAAGACCTTATGGAAACAGATCTTTACAAGCTCTTAAAGACTCAACACCTCAGCAACGACCACATTTGTTATTTCCTTTACCAGATTCTGAGAGGGTTAAAATATATCCATTCAGCCAATGTGCTTCATCGTGACCTCAAACCTTCGAATTTGCTGCTTAATACCACTTGTGATCTCAAGGTTAGTAGAAATTTCTTAAAAATTTTGCCCCTATGGTCTTCATCAACTGTATAATCTGTTACAACTGTGAACAACTAGGAATGTGATAGTGTTATTGGGGATTAATGTGATTTTTGTTGTGGACAGCTTGCCAAATCATTATTAATTTTCATAAAACGATGTTTGAGAACTGTGCTGTGTTATCCTGTTCTAATGAGTGCATCGCTGTTTCCATCTGGAGGCTGGCTTTGAAACAGCGTCCTCAAAAGCTGGTGAAAATGCCAATCTGAAACACAGTTGTGTTTACTGGGAAGGTAAACTGACAGTTGTGTGTGTTTCAAGTCTTGAGTCCCTGTATTAAGACTGTTAATCATTCTGAGTTGGAAAAGAGCTTCATAATAGCAGACAACCAAAGCGATACGCTAAAGTCAGTGCTGATTGGAAGCAGAGCAATCAACTGGGAAGAGAGCATTGCTAATTTATGTTTTCTGTCATAGGTTCTTTATGAATTAATACTGCAGACCTTAGAGCTGTTACAGTGCTTGGAAAATGTTACCTTGTTGTTTAGTGGCATTCAGAGAAGCAAATCAAGTATGAAGAATGAGAACAGAAATAAAGAACAAAACGGAAAACACACCTTGTTGTAACTTTCTGCTCTTGTGTGATTGTAACTGTCACGCTTCTCCCTGTGATGGTCTTCCAGAAAGAGGTGACCAGGATTTCAGGGTGCTCCTACCCCAATGAAGAAGAGCTGTGTTTAGCCTAGGTCTTCCTGTCTGGAAGCTTGAGTAAAGAATGAACGCAATAGAAGTGGATGAGGTTCCTAGTGGCAAGGAGAGCTAGTGAACTATTACAGTCCTTAGCTATTGAAAATAAAAACTGGACGGGGCAAATGAAAGGAGCAGCTGGCATGCTCACAGTGAATGGATTGAGTAGTTAACGTTCAGCTTTTTAAGGTGTGGAAATTGGTACATAGAATAGATATTAAGGTAGTGTGACTTACACACCAAGGAGGTAACCAGAAGAAAAAGGTTTTGAATGCTACCTCTGGTTTAGTATTCCATGGTGGTAAGTGTGTGCCGTGTTTCCTCGTACACATCGAGTACTTCCAAGTATTTACTGTTGGCTACTGATGGAATGAGATCGGAGTTTACATGGCTTTGATCTGATGTGGTACAACTGTTCTGTTCCATGCTGTCTTCCCCACTAATTACACTGATTTCTTATAGTGGCTCTAACACGCTAATTATAAAACACAGCAGTAACAACTGACCCTCTGCAGAATGTGAACCGGCTGCTGGCCGTACAAGTTTGTCAGAATTCCAAGAAAAGTCTTTGCTGCTGAACTGCTCTATGCACTGGTCCATTCTAAATACTGACCGCTCCGTTAGTTTGCTCTGTATTCCCACTGCTCCTTGTCTGCCTTTCCCAACGCACCCTGCTGGACAAGGCCCTCTGCCTCTTGCAGGAACTGCAGCTGTTGTCACATCAGAGTTCCTCACGGCATTAACCCCATCGTGAAGGAAATGGAATAAAATCTGTAGTAGAAGCAGGAAATAAAAGTTGGAGCGTAGCTGTGTGCGTGCAGTTAAAGAAGTGTTTTAAGACAAGTAAGATGCTCATAAAAAGTAAATTAAGTTTGCTGGGTGGCAGCGTGTGAGCTCACTAAATACTGCTCTGGTTTCTTTCTTGGGTATTAAAAAGAGCACGCTTCTGCAATGTGTGCTTCCCTAGTGCAGAGTGTGGTAGTCTGTATGACAGAGCAAATGCTTTTTCTTAACCTAAAGGGAACTGCGGTGTTGCTGTTACCACATCTGAAGTGTAAGCAATGGAATTGAAAAGAAAGTGTGTGTTGGGCCTTGTCTGTGAGCACTGATTTGTGCTGACTTGTTTCTTCTAGGGCTGTTCTGCCAGTCTGTGTTATGCACACGTGCATGCTTACAAAGTGATCGTTGCACTTAAATTCAAAACACAGTGTCCCATGAAAATGAACGGCTTTAAGTCATGCTTTCAGGGGAATGAAAACAGAAATTTTGTTCCTCTTAAGTGTTAACACTGTTAATTGTTGTTTGATGGTGTTGTGACAGAGAGCTGCTGTGCTGTCTTTATTCACGTTTCCAGTTTCCTTATTTTCTCTTTGGAAGAAGGACATAAATGGCTCTGAAAGCCATGGAGCCTCCTTGTCAGAGTGTGGATAAGAACACTTTCTCCTTTTTGCCCATCTCACTGCTGTACATCAGAGATGACTTTTTCATGATTAGATAAAATTATTTTCCTGGCATAAGATTGAGAAATGCTCTCTTGTGGGTTTTTGTGCTTATGCTTCCTTCAGCAACCTGTAATCCCTCCAGTACACCATTATCTCATGGTGGTTTTTTTGCGAATATACACTGTGTAATGGTACTTTTTGTAAAATGGAGTTTTGAACTGTTCTTCAGATGTGTTGGTCGTTAATTCTTTTTGTTGTTGGAGAGCTTAATCTCCTCTTTTTTTTTTTTTTTTTTTTTTTTTGTAAAATTCAAATAAGTTGGAGCAGGGTGCTTTACCTCCTTCCTGGCGGATACCATGTGAAATGAGCCCATAGCAGAGCATAAACTGTATGCCAGAAATGTTCTCCCTCAAGCTCTTAGGACTACTTATTCTCCTTGACCCGTCTGGGGCCTTATCCAAATAGCCTTTTTGTATTTGAGTTCCAAATATTTTTTTTCAACCTTTGTGAGATAATTTATTTCTGGAGGTACGTGCTAGCATCACTGTCTTTGTAAGTGTACCATCGTAGGTGGGTGACTTGGAAATATTGCAGCGTGGGGAGCTGTACGTATGCATGTCTAATACACTTGCTCTTTTTTTTTAATTCAAAACCAGATTTGTGACTTCGGACTGGCTCGTGTTGCAGATCCTGACCACGATCACACAGGATTCCTGACAGAATATGTGGCCACGCGTTGGTACAGGGCTCCTGAAATCATGCTGAATTCTAAGGTAAGAACTGCAGTGTGCTGCTGTGGTGCTTCTATTGCTGATTATTCACTTGTGAGCACCAAATTTTTCTCCTTTCTCCTGTCCCCTCTGGATTATTTTTTTTACAGTTGGAGCTCACACATAATGTTGAGGGAACAGAGAAATAGATTTACAACTATTGGTTTGCAGTGAATTTGGGATTTCAGGTACAATTATTGGATACTACAGCTGAGTAGAGATGTGCTTGGGTCCCCATATGCCTCATCTCTTCCCATTCACGAGACTTTATTCTGTCAGGTGCTCTCTTTTGTAGAGCAAGACAGAAATGCTGGTGATGAGGGCACTTCAGTGTATTCAGGAAGGTTTGCAAGTGTTGCCTTAGTGTTAATCTTGACATCTTCGTTTAGATTTAGAATGTATAATGAGGGTGAGTCTTATTTTGAAGACGTGGTCTTTGCTGTATGTCAATCCTAAACATGTTCTTGAAGTCTTAATCAAATCATCACTTTGTTATTGTAGTACTTGGAATTATTCTTACTTTCTTCTGTGCCTTTGTTAAAGTCAGTCTGTTTTCTGTATGATGCAGTGGTAACCTCCACAGCCTCTGCAGAAGTTACCACAGTGGTGCACTTGGTAGTGCCAGTGTGACAGCTCTCTGTATTCGGTATTCCTCAAAGGCTTTGTAGGAAAACCTTATATTTTAAACTTCCATTGTGGCTATAAGCATAGGGCAGCTTACATTTATTTCTGGATTATCAGCAGCTTTTACAAGAAGATATCTCGTGTATTTCTCAGGAAGTGCACAGTGCATGATGTTCCTGGTCAATAACCTGATTTCTTCCAGAGCTGGTGTGTAGAAAACAAGCAGTCAATGATAGGATGCTGAGAACTGTGCTGAGCGGGCGGTGGAGTCAGCAGTCACTTGCTTTTGTGGGAGCTCCTTGCCGGGGGATGGGGAGCAGCAGGCAGCAGACTGTGGGAGGGGAAGGCGAGGGTGTTTGTGAGGCCAGTGGTTCTTGAGGTAGTTCCCAGTGTATTACCCAGCACCAGGGTGGATACATAAGAAAAGCCTTTGATTCCGAAGCGTATAATGCAAGTTACTCACCTGAAGATGTTATTTGTTCCATTCTTCTTATCTCATTATTTGACCTTCTCACACCGTCTTTACTTACTTTCCTCCTGTGTTTACAGATCAGCTAACCCACAATCTGTGTTGCCCTTTCACTCCCTTGCTGATGAAGGTTTCTTACTGACCTATGGCTTTTTCCCACTGCTCACATGTTCAGCGTAATGCTGGGAACTGCAGTAACCTTGATGCTGTGAACTTCTCAGAGTCCAAGTTAGTGTAAGGCCTGTTAATGAAGTCTGCTGATGTAAATTGGCTATAGAATTAGGGAGCCTCACAAATATATGGTTGGTCATATGTACAGCTAACCTTACTGAATCCTTTTGGAAGAGTGCGCCTTGTGTGTTTCAGGCTTTGTTACTCATTTGAAGCAGTATTTTTGATCTACAGTTCTTAATTATTTCATTATATACCAGAAAAGTTGAACAGCATGAACAGGCACAACACATTTAAACAGTTTCGGTGCATTTGTACTAAAGTAATGTGTTACTGCAGTTACGCAAAAATGTATTTGATTAAAAGTGGTGTTTTTTGTTTTGCTTTACTTGCAGGGTTACACCAAGTCTATTGACATCTGGTCAGTAGGCTGTATTCTGGCAGAGATGCTCTCCAACAGACCCATCTTTCCAGGAAAACACTACCTTGACCAACTTAACCATATCCTTGGTGAGTTTTACATAATAGCTTTTCCTCATTCATCCACTTCTCTTCATCTTTTCTACCAGATGGACCAATCTGGGTCACCCATTTTTTTCTTTTAATCTTTCAGTTCCTTTATTCTATATATTGTCCTTTGGTCTAATCCATGGTGATGTATGTAAGGATTGTCTTCAAGAACATATAATTTAAGGATCTGTCGATGCATTTTGTGTTCCCTGTAGTTGTTTCTGTAGTGATTTATGAGGTAAATCATTGATTTGAGGGGTGGTTGGAGGATGTTTATTTGTTATATCAGCAGAGATGTTTTAGAAAAATTAATAAACAAAGAAGCTCACATACCAAAATGTCTAAGTCCATTTGTGAAAGTTTCTGTATGTAAACTTATATCAATTGGATCTTATAAGCAAACTGCTGCTAATTGGAAAACTCAAATGCATCTGTTTGTTTATGAGAAAACAAGTAACCAACACCTTGTTAGTAGGGGTTGCTAAACATTCTGTGGTATTCTGTGCTCTTAGAACACGTGGTGTGGATTCTTTGCAGCACTTTTAACGTTGGCTTTTAGGAAACGTGATGCAACTGCTATAATGTGACTTTCATAGGAATGCAGTACTGTTTGTGTTTCTATTTTTACAGGTATACTTGGATCCCCTTCCCAAGAAGATTTGAATTGTATAATAAATTTAAAAGCCAGAAACTATTTGCTTTCCCTACCACACAAAAATAAGGTGCCGTGGAACAGGCTGTTTCCGAATGCTGACCCCAAAGGTATTTTATTCTCTATTACGTTGTATCAGATTTTCAGAAGTGGAAATGAGCACCAAAATGAGTGGCAGAATGGGATATTTTTTAGAACCACTTTATAGATTTTAGAGCCACTCTATAGAATTTATTTGAGTTGGAGTTAGGGCATCGGGGTCCATTAGAACACCTGTGTCAGATGTGAGATCGTCAACCAGCATGAAACTCCTCTTGCTCTTAAACAAGTAAAAAATTGTGTTATGGTCTTTAACTTTGAAAAAGGTGGGAATCCCAGCTGTTGTTGTCTTGGAAAGTGTAATTCATTCGGATATGCAGTGTTGGCATTGGACATTTACAGTTTGTTCTGTTGCATAACTGATATTTCCTTCTAGCTTCTACTTTGTGTAGTTCAAGGATTGCTGTTTGCACAGCACGGCTCTCATGCTTGCTCTGACACAATGCATGTCACCTGAGTTTTTGAACTGATAAAATAATTCGCTTTCAGTGAATATGATCTGGTACTGAAGTGTCATGAAAAAGCTGATTTCTGCAGCTGGAGCAGTAGAGCTGATCATCCTTATGGAGGGAAGCAGCGGTGATTTATTCTGGCTTTGTAACTGTGCTCGTCAGCCTGAGAAATTTTTACTGGGGTTTTTGACAGCTTAAATGGCAGCGAAGCTCATGTGCTTAGCTGCTGGGGAACGTGCAGTCACTGGGACTTCGTAACACCTTTCCATCTAAACCTTCAGAGCAGCTTTAACAGAGCAGGCTTTCAGAAAGCTCAGTGCCGTCGTTTTGGTGAGAACAGTGTGCACAACGTGCTTTGGCATGGAGAAAGCAAGGGGGTTTCTAGGTCTGTGAAAACAGGCCTTCCAAAGGGTGCGTGTTTTTCTATACTTGTTCTGAAAATGTGCCAGAGCAGGCTGAAGGAAACTAATTTAGGAATGCTGATAAGATGGACAAAAAGAGATGCGCTGCCCTACTCAGAGGAAGCATTTTGCTGTTTCTGTTGCTGCTACTGCTGTAAATGAAAATTAGCACAAAGGCGGCTTGATTTTCGTATGTAGTATCAGTAGCACTTACTGTACTTTACCATTTGAAGTGTGTATTAAGCTCTTGTTTGCTTGTTTTTTATCTTAGCACTTGATTTGTTGGATAAAATGTTGACCTTTAATCCTCATAAGCGAATTGAAGTGGAACAAGCTTTAGCCCATCCGTATCTGGAACAGTATTACGATCCAAGTGATGAGGTAAACGCATTGTTAAAATGTGAATCTTGTCGATAAAGTGATACAGTGTGGTTTTTTTCTTCATTAGTGTATGGACAACGTTTCTACTTGGAATGAGGAGTGGATGGTATCATTTTACCAACCTGGTTAGAAATGTATGTTCTGCTTCCCAATGGAAATTTGGAGTAGTATTTCGAGCCTTGACAACACCTCCAGTGTTCCAAATTGAGACAAATAGTAAGCAGCTGAAGAGCTGCATCTGTTCTTTACATCTGAAAATAATGCTGCTACTTTTTAGACATCTTTCAAGAAATTTTAATCTTTTGTTGCAAAGTTTAAACTTTTAAGTAGTGTGTTGCACTTTGTCACAGGCCTAACACGATCAAGAGGGTTGCTGTTCTCTTGCTCTTTACAAGCAGTAACTTATATTAAGTGGTCCTTATAGAACGAGAAGTCTTGCTTGCATTTAGAGATATAAAGAAGTTGTTTAAATGTTTGTGTAATAAAAATAAGTGGGGAAAAATCAGTCTGATTAACTTCAATCCTTGAAATTAATGTGCTGCTTTTGTTTAGATCCAGTGCTACATTTTGGAGGCACAACACAAAAACAAATATATGCTAAGGAGTACTATTCTGAAAATGGAATTTCTCAGTTCACTGTGGTTTTGTTTCATAGTGGCTGGGATGAGACAGGAGAGGTAACAGAAGTTGCCATTGCATTGTGTTTTAAAAGCCCCCAAAACTGAGCTTACTGGAGTTGATAGAACACTGATGAGATTTCAGGTTACCTGTGAAGGAGGGGAGAAGGAAAAATGCAGGTTTTCCTTGAGGGATAGATTTATTCTGAGAGAGCTGCTGTTTCAGATTTCTGTCCAGGTAGTTACTGAGATATAAGCTGTTGTCAAGTGTTAGGCTTTGTTTTGCATTTGACTGTAATTTGATTTAAAATTTTTTAATATATGAAGCATATAAGGACTAATTGAATGAGTCGTTCCTCATAGGCTGCAAAATACTGCATGTTTCTGTGAGCACACTTTTAGATGTTTTTTCCCATTCAGGATCTCCGTTAATTTCAACAGAACAATAGTTTGAAAAAGATGAATTGTTACCTTTTTTCTTTAATTTTATCAAGCCTGTAGCTGAAGCACCGTTCAAGTTTGATATGGAATTGGATGACTTGCCGAAGGAAAAGCTGAAAGAACTGATTTTTGAGGAAACTGCTAGATTCCAGCCAGGATATCGATCTTAAATTGTGCATAGGTAAAGTTACAGCGATAAGAAACCATTTGACCAGAAGAATTTTGGAACTCAGTGGTTACTGCTAGTGAGATGTATAGCTGACAGTTTCTGTTGACTTGCTAACTAACTGCTGAAGTGCAACTTTCTGCTTGTTCGATTGACCTCAGTCCTGTTCTCTTACTGAAGAAATGAGTGTAGATTGCAGCGCTGAACTGTCTGCAAAGAATCTGGGCAATGGCCTTGAGATGCTTACCTGGTTCTCAGGTTGCATTTAAGGAATAAGGGTTACATTTGATTTTATTCTTGAATAAAAGTGATGAGAACGCTACTGAAATGCAAATCTTAAAAACAAAAACCACAGCTTTTCAAGGGGTCAGTGATCTTCATAGAAGAAAGAGTATTTGGTCGTGTGGCTTCAAATGCTCTTTAAAATCTCTTTCTTAAATTTAATGTGCAGAGGAGAAATCTCTTGAACTACTCTTAAAAAAAAAAGAAAAGCCCCAAACCTCAAAACCATAAATCTTCAGTGAGACTTCAGTTTTAAGTACCTGTGAGATAATTGTATGAGCAATTAACTGCGCAGCTGTTCATAAATCAGTTATGATTACTTTTGCTAGTTCTTTGAAGATCTAAACATGCTTAATTTGAATTTGCTGATATTCACCTGTGTTTTGTTTCAAATCAATAAACTTGTCTTCATGTACTTTGAGGCTTGACGTCTTGGTAGTGTCATACAAAATTGGTAACATAATTAACAGTGTATTTTCTCTAATACTTGTGAATGAATGTTTTTAAGTAACTAAGCTTTGTAACTGGAGAAGAAACTAAAAATATGAAGACAGCTGCCTGATGCAGGTTGCCCTATTTTGTGGCCTTAAAAGTGATTTCCATGGTATTCTCCATCAGCAGTTCACAAATAGAATCTCTGGTTGACAGTTCCAGCAGAAAGTTCTGACTCTGAGCCTGCGTGCTTCACTGTGAGCCATCTGTGGCTGTGGCTGCAGCGTGTAGGAACTTGACTGCTTTGCTATAGCCAGTAATTCTTCTGGACTAAGAATGGGATTTCTGTTCCTGCATTGCTTATGCTTCTAGTCTCTCAATTATTGCTTGGTAAGAAAAGAGGAAGGAAAAAAAAAAAGTTGAGTGAACTGTAAATAGTTTTTCCTCCTTTTGTGTCACTAGCTTGAATATTGAATAATTGTACTGAACATAAAAGCTCACAACTGAAGTCATTTTGATTTTTGGGAACAGAGAATCTTGCTTATTAAACTTAGTAGCTAACATTTGAAACTCTTTTAATAATTAGAATGCAGGTAAATCTGAGCCTTATGCTGTTGGACGTTCCCAGTAGAATTACCCTGGCACACAGTAAGGCAGATGGTGCCTGCTTCCCTCCTGTGTCGTATGAAGCTAATTCTGTACGAGAGGCACTAGGAGTGTGTGCACATTGTGGAAGACAGTTGTCTGACTGGAGTAAGACGAAGCCTGTGTAGGCCATGGAATCAAGGAAGGAGAGCAATAGCTGACGCTGTGGTAAATCATAGGTGATGTCTCTGCTACTCACCTCTTTGCCCAGGTGCACGTACCCAGGCTGTAGTAGGGATTAAGGGGTAAAGGGACTAGGAGTGCAGATATCAGTGATCCGGTGCCAAGAGAAGTCTCTGATCCTTTCAGTGCTGCTACGAAGAGTTGATTTGGCCAGTAACATACTGAAATTTGAGTATTTTACTTAATGATTCACGAGAACTGTATGAGTAATTTGTGGTCAGAATTACTAGGTATTCCACAGTACAGCACTTAAACGTCAGTAGCTGACATCCTAGCGAAGGCCAGTCCCTAGCAGTTGGCTCACAGTGCACACTGAGTCTCTTCCCATATATTTCTGCTCTCCTCCGCTCCCCCTTGCTATCACCTGGCTCTTATCAGTGTGTTCTTTGCATTGTCGTTTTTGACTCTAGCTTTTGGAATTATGAAACAATGTGGGGAAAAAAAACAGTTCTTCAGATAACCGAGTAGTGTAGGTGACTCATTTGGAGAAAGGTAGAAATAGGAAAATGTTTTTAAGACAATGTTAAAGTTTCCTTCACTGAAATGTCTCTGCTTTTTTTTTTTTTTTTTTTTTTTTTTTTTTGTAGGACAAGGACTTAAAGGACTGGGCATGCTCAAACGTTGCTGTTCCTCTTCCCAGTTCTTTACTGTTGGTCATGTCTTGTGGCCTCTCTCAGCTTATCCACTAACTCCTTTGAGCCATTCAGGAGGGCAGTTCCTGGTAGTTTTGGCTTTTCATGCTTTCAATGAATCTTTTAAGCCTGAAGAATTGTAATTGACACTCCTACGCGTAATGCCCGTTGTTGACCTGTTGCAGTACTGTACTGTAAGTGCACCTACTGCTGGCCGTGTTTTAACTGCTTGCTTTCTGGTTTGAGAGATGCAGTGGTTCCTTTCACTCCTGGATTAATATCCAAGAAGATAATTCATTACTGATGCGAAGTTTACACCATGAACTGTGTTCTTCTGACTGAAGTCGCTGGCATTTTTTTTAGAAAAGCTACTATTCAGGGCACTTTAAGTCAGTGACATCCCAGATTTTTTTTGCACTTCCTTTTTAAATAGAAATGGTTAGCATCCAGTGAGTGGGGTTTTACCAGGATGCTCTGGATTACAGCATAAGTCGTGTTCGTGTTAATCTTGCTTATGCACTTGTTTGGGTGTCCTGTGCTGTACATGCAGGTATTCTATACGGTGCAGTAGCCACATAGGAACCCATCTTAATTGAGTTCATCTAAGAAACATTTTACCATGCATTGACAAAATTTGTACCTTTTTTTCCCCGCCTTTTTCAAAACAGATCATTTTAAGTTTAACCGTGCTGGGAGGGGTAGTACTTCCAAAGTTCATACCTTGTGGTCGTGTTTATAAGGCTTGTGCAAAGAGAATGAGCGGCAGCTTGCCGTCCTATTTATTCCCTGCGTGATGGGAGATTAACAAAGAACAAAATGGCACGATGACCTAATGGGGAATGCTTTTCTTTGTGGAAGGCATCCGAATGTGGTAAGTGAGAAACCAAAATATGATGTTAGTAATGATGATGATGAAGTCTGCATACTTCATACCAATGAAATGCTTCAAATGAGGATTGGTAGTTTTACATTGAATCCAATCACTGACATTCAGGATTCTCGCAGAGAGGAACACTGCATCTTTAAATGAGAAAGTTTGAATTTCCTTTTGCTCCTACAGCATGTCAGCATATCAAGTTCATTTCTTGCAACCTACACTATGGTGATTTGTAATCAAGCCTCCATGAGCTCGTGACATAAAGTACTGTTCTGTTGTCAAGTACTATCAAACTTTTCTGATAATGCTGAGTTAGGACAACCAAACAAAGCTAGCACTAAATAATGTTTAAAATTGTATACCTTTTAATGATCTTTTCAAGTATTTGTTACTGAAATTGTATAATGTGAGTTTACTAGGTGTTATGTTCCAGTGCAGTGCCTCCTTTTCTTTCCCCACTGCTCTCTGTGGTGAGAAATTTGCCTTGTTTAAAATGATTACTGTGCCCTCGCATGACTGTTAAAGCTTTCTGTGCAAAGATGATTGTTTAAGTGCCACATGCCTATGACTGAGAGAAAAATCTATTGTTACCTCTGAGTTGTGTTCAACTGAAATGCTATTCAACAAATAACTTAGGAAAAATAGTTCTATTTTTAGCTTTTCATATCTCTGCTGTCTTCTCAATTTATTTTGGCAGCAGTGAAGAATGGATTGTATAGACTGCTTGCTAATATGAACAAAATGCACTTGTAATTCCTGGAAATAAATTTAAATCTTATATCTTCACATTAACATAAAGAATTAGTTTTTGGTTTCCTCTTGGGTAATGTGTTTGAATGGAAATCAGATTCACTTGCTGCTGCAGTATTACAAGGATGCTTGCTGGTTAATGAATCCAGGCTTCCTCATTCCACGTAGTCTGCTTTTCAAAAAAAAAAAAGCCATTAACTTAGATTTCCGTCGGCGAGGGTGCTCACAAGGTTCCATTTCAGATTTTTTCTTCAAGTTTGAGTCTTAGTCTACCCAAACTAACTCTGAAAAGCGGTGGTTCATTGTAAGGGGCATTTTCAGTTGGGAAGTCCCTGTGGTACGGACATCTCTGCTGCGCGGAACAGAAGGAGCGGCCGGGACACCGCGAGTGGCCGTGGGATGGCGGCACGGAGCTGTGCTGAAAGAAGGTTCTTTAGAAATTACGTGCTTGACTGTTGATCCTTGTGTAGAAATTTTTTCTGATGTTTCTACACATCTTCACCAAAATGCTTTCTTCATGCAGTTCAGAGAAGCTGAAATATTTCTAGAATCTCTGCTCCTTGTACCATCGTCATCATTACAGGAATCACGGTTGAAAAGATGACTGTTACTGAAAAAATTTGTAAAACTAGTTTGTAACACCTCAACCCGAATTTGCTAAGGAAGAATTTTGGCAGCTTATTTCATCCTTTTCCTAATTCTTTTTTTAATACTTTAATTTTGGGTTTCTGGAGAGGTGTAAACTTACCCTTGCAATCTGTCTTTCAGAATGATGAGCCAAGGGTTTGCTTTACCTAACGTGTGGTGCTTTCAGGCCTTCCTCCTTAGCTGTCCTTACTGACCCAAATTGGAGTCCATCGGTACCCATAACTGCATCCATCCATCCATCTCCTGCTGAACGCAGTAGGCGTTGTTAAGCTGAATGCTATATTGTCAAGTGCAGAAGCATGACTTTTTCTTTTGTCAGATATTGAAAATGTTTAAAAGAAGGTGCCTATAACACTGCTAGGTTGGCTATTGCTCCGTTTTGCTTTTTTTTTTTTTTTCCCCTCTTTTACTTAGTTTTTCAATATGTAGAGCAGAGACCTGAAGCCTGTATTTGAAGTAATATATATTTCATGGTAAAGATGTTTTGGGAATAAGGAATATAAACAGTTGACTGTCTAAACATTGCAGCTGTACTGCGGAAGAAGAGTGGGCAAACTTAAACTTTTCCTGGATGCTTTGGCAAAGAAAGCATCTTATTCTGCTGTCCTGACTTCCCAGAATCTTCCTCCTCACTGTCACACGCCCCAGGTCCGAGGCTTCGGCAGTCGCAGGTGGCGGCGTGACTCGGCGGTGGCCACAGCAGCCCAAGGAGCTGAGCACGGCTTGCCTTACAGAATGGGGAAAAAAACCTGTTGCCCGTTGAAATCCGCTGTGATATATTTATACCATGTCAAAGTTGTTTGCTGAGCAACTGTACTATAGATTTAAACTGTATTAATATATATTTGCTTACGTCAGTGTAGTTTATATAGTCCTTGGTTATTGATGAATTTGTGTTGTTACAGCACAGTGATGTGGTATAAATATAGGCCTATGCACACAAGATGCTCATGGATTTGGTCCCTTGCATAGTACTTTTATATCTGTACAGCGACGTCTTCAAGCAATCCCAGATTTTAGGGGAAGTATTTTTGTAAATGCAGTGAACAAAAATCCAAACAGTCCTTTTACTAAGTTTTAAATGCGTTTGCGGTTCGAAATGGTTTGGTTAATGACTGAAATCAAGACACTAAATCAGTGAAGAGTGCACATTAGTGAAGTGAAGCGTACCACGGTTTTCTGTAGCATGTGCTGTGATGGAGCTGGGGGAGCGCTGGACGAAAGGCAGACTGCCTGTGTAGATGTAGAACAAACGCCTGCAGGCTGCAGCTGGATTACTTACTATTGTTGCCTTTTCTCGTGTTGTATCAGTGTAGAGCACTCTTAAATACTCAAACTGCTTTGTCTTTGCTTTGTACTGTCGGTGCCTTCTTAGTCACGTACCCCACATGTCCTGCATAGCTAATTTAGTTAATGGTAAGTTTAAAATAAAATAAAGGAAGATTTTATATTAAAAAAAACCTTTAAAACTTCATTTTCTGTATGTTCTTATTCATTGTAACAATTAAACATTTCTATTGTGGCAGATTTGTGATTTGGTTAATCTGTATAGATCAGTTGTAAGTAGCAAAGGTTTATATTTGTCTTATTCTTTTAATGTTGTAAACGTATGTGATTTTCTTCTTTAAATCAGGTAACTTAATGTTCTGTTTCATTTTTGGCATCTGAATCTTGTAAAAACAAATGCAAAGAAAATCATTAAATTGTGTCCCTGTATTACCAAATCAGCATAGTACTGTGCGTGTGTAGAACGACTGAAATGTTGCTTTGCAATGACCTGCTGTTGTAAAAGCACGGCGCCTAAAAGCGAGTCGCCCGAATGGAGCAGCAGAGCGAGCCTGCCTCCGTGTTCCCGAATGCACAGGTGTGTCTGTTTCAGAGTACGAGTGCACCAGTCTGAAATTGGAGTCATCCAAAACATTGCAGGTAAAGTTTGTAGAGGGCAGAAGAGTTGTGTCGTTGTGGCAAGAAGGCTGTGAGATGAGCGCTGTGAGCTGCTGGGCGCAGGGGTGGCCCGTGTTTGGCTCGTGGATGTTGGCACAGCTGCTGCCCACTGCCCAGGAAGTTTTGCGAAGCGCTCGAGCAGCCCTCAGAGAGCAAATGCTTTCAGTTCGATGCGAAAACGTTCTCAGGCCAAAGTTTGGAGCGTTCTGAGGATTGTGGGAACAACGCGCTCGAACATCCTGTAATGGCATTTTCACAAATATTTTTAGTCTGAAATGCAGCTGTGCCAAAGAACTGAGAAAAGGTGTAACTGGATCCTGGCAGCTGGAGACTGCAGTGTGTGACAACGCGGAGAGCCTGACCTGAAACTGAGAGGTGCTTGCCAGTTCCTGACAGCTCTGTAACAGCTCTACGCCTGGCTCGTTAAGGTTCCTCTCTCCGTCCCCTCCCTGGTCTTCACAGCAGTATGCACTTTTTTTCCAGAAAATTAAGAGTTTGATTTTGCCACACATGCAGTTATGCACGTTGCTTTTTCATGACTGTGGCTGCCCTTGTCTGTCTCTGTTCCCTCTAGCAGTGTGCTGCATTGCAATGTGTGAGTTTCAGTTACTTCAAAGTTTGAACTGCATCGTCCCAGCAGAGGTTTAGACAAGCTGCTGCTGGACTCAGTGTTTTTGTCACACTTGTTTAAATAGGATTAGTTGGAAAACACTTTGCTTTTATTTGCTTTGTTCACCAGAATAGGATGCCGATCCTTCCTGTCTGAGCTTTGAAGGGCAGTGGGTAGTGAGACCTCGGAGCCAAAGACTGCATAGATGAGCTGTGGGGTCTGTGTGCAGGCTCAGTGCTTGTGTGGTGTGCTCTGGTGAGCAGCGTGCCGTGGAGGCTGAATAGCCAGCGCTGGAGGAGCTCCTGCGCTCACAAAGTCTTGAGGAACTGCTTCTGGTTATAACCATGTTGGTTTGAGCAGTGTAGATTTGATGCCGTTGGGCTTTGTAGAGCTACAACCCCAGTATCTTCTCACTTCTGTGTGTTTCATTGTACTTTCTACTAAGTAACATTTGCGTAATGCTTGACAAGCTGAAAAAAAATGAACATTTGGTAATTGTAGAAGACTTAAAATCTTCGTTGCATGAATACGTGCCACGTCAGCGATTCGGAGGAGCTTTGGTTCCTCTGCAGGGCAGCATCCAGGCGCTGCCAGGTGCCAGGGCTGAGCTTCCATCACACCGCGTTCACTGAGGGCTGATCTTGGAATTAAGAGGTGAAAATTGCTCCGGGGAAGCCTTTACTGTTCCACTTTGTAAGGTGCTCACACCTTAGGTATTTCCTTCAGCTATCTTGCAGAACTCTGCCTGTTTTTTCAGTACATCTTGCTACCGTGACAATTTTTTTCTTTGTCTTCTTTTTCAAAGTGAAGCTGAAGTCTCAGCTGTTCCAAAAACCTTTCTTTGGGATTCATGTGGTTCTGGTGATACACAACAGATTACTGGTCCTATTACATAAACTGGTGTGAATCCTCAGAACAGGTAAGCAAAAGCACCTGGCAGGTCACCTGAGGCTCTTGCTGCTGGAAGCACAGCATGCGACCTGGCGATGGGGTGTTCATTTCTGAGGGGCAATATAAAACAGGTGAAATGATGGGAAATGAGCGATACGCTTGGGTCACATGTGGTGTGAGGAGTCCTTTGTTGCTGTTAGAAACTTGAGCCTGACGTTCAGCAGACCCTGCTTTGAACTTTTCTGACTCTTAATCCTTGAATACCCTGTAAATACTGGAAACCTCTTGTCATTTCTCTAAAGCGTCCTCACATCTTCCTTGCAGCATCACCCCTTCTTCAGTTCTTTCCCTTTTCCACCCAGTTAATTATTCTGGCAGAGCGATGCGTGATCCTTTGGGAGTTCATTTCCCTTGGTGCAGGAGTGGCTGGTTCGCATGTGAGGGACATGAAAGGAGTCCGTAGGCATTTTTCTGATTCCCCACAAAAAAGGAAGAAATGTCTTGAGAATGCTGGAGAGCCGGCATGCTGCCTCACCTAAAAACACTGAGCTGAATCCTTTTGTGTATCCTGTGGGTCTTTCTGTGGGTTTGTGTGGTGCTCCCAGTTGTGCCACTGGTCGATTGAAATGCTTCTCTGTCTCCCGCCGTTGCTTCTTGCACAGAGCTGACCTTTGATCCCGTTGAGTTTCTGTCTTCCAGTGATGCTTTTCTTCCTCAGGGTTTATACATTCCTTGTTGGTATTTTTCTCCCCAATCCTTTGACTGCTGTGACTGACTCGGTGTCACTTTCTTATTCTTTCTTCCCCTTATTTTGTATGGCTGTAGCTTCCCTGTGGTCTCACAACTCTCCCTTCGTTTGCTTTTTAGAAATGTCTGGGTTTTTTTAGTTACTCTGTAAGGCCGTGGACGCAGCCATGCTTCACAGAGCCGGGCCCTGCTGACGGGCAGCTGACTCAAGGGCTGCTGGTTACGCTCCAGCCGCTGGCTTTGGGGAGCCCAGTTGCACAGGCACAGCAGCTCCTGTGTGCAGCTCCAGCGCCTGGGCTTTGCACCAGCTGCGGTTTTGTGCAGCGCAGCATCTGTTAATTCCACCTTACTGTTTTAATGCCTTGAATACAAAAGCCAGAAATAACAATGGAAAACTTCATTCTCCCTGTATTGATGCATTCTTCTGCACTACTGAAACTATATCAAAATTCAGGCTTTTCAAGCAAAAAAAAAAGCGTAACCCAAAGCTGTGAGTGTGCCGCGAGTTTAAAAAATAACAGAATGATAACAATCTGCTATGATCTATGACTTATGATGCACCTTCTACTTCGATCATAACGTCCAAGACACATAGCTTGTTCTGAAGATGCTTTTCTGCCTTAAATCTGCAAATGCAAAAATGCTGAACATTCAGAATCTTGGCTTGAAACTCTGAACCGATGATATCAGCAGCGAGCTGAAAACTCAAGGAAGGTTTGAAGTCAGGCCTTCTCCTAGCTCAGCTTTAATCTCAATAGCAGGGGAGAAAACTTTGGCTATCAAACCTTCCTGTTCCTAGAAATGTTTAAAATTTACAAATATTCTATCTCGTAGTTGAGGCGTCTTAGATTCAGGTTCATAGACTAAAGAATTTTTAATGTTCTGTGTTTTTAAAAAGTTTTGTTAGTTTTGGTACATGCTTACTTTTGCAGGCTCTTTGAGTAGGCATGCACAAATGGAGGGAACAAACTTCTGCAGGCCAGTTGACACATCCAGAAATGCTTAAAGGAACGTTGCTGGTGTCACTGTAGCTACGTGTTCTGTTTGCTCTCGTGTGCAGCGTACATCAGCACTCCAGAAGAAGGTGGGGATTAAAGAAAAATAAAATTGTGGTCATTTCTTAAACATTCTTTTGTAGCTCAACTTAATTCATGGGCTTGTTTTTGAGGGTAGTTTGGTATGTGGGGAGAACTGTGTTAAGTCGTTTTTACAGCTGACTTGACGTTTCTCTGAGTATAATTTGCTGTTATTCCAGCATGGCAAAGATCTGCATAATTCATGCGCGCTCAACGTAATCACTGGTTTTCTTCTAACAATAAGTGGCATTGTACCAAAAGCAATATATCCTGTGTGTAGTTAGTAGTGGAAGTAAGTATTACTGTGCAGCTTTTATTTTCATTGTCTTTCCAATGGTTGCTGCTAGCATGGATTTTGTGCACTGACAGTTGTTCCAGGCTGTTAAAGATGTATTCTGGGGAAAAAGTCCTGCATAACACTTGTTTGCTTTCTGGAAGCTGCTGCAGTACTTTGAAGCAGAAAAGAGTTGCATCTGATGCTGCAATAAGCTTGTTTTCCTCTGAGTCTTATCAGCAGAACACATCTAGATCCAGGGAGTTTCTCCGGAATTGCTCCTCCATGTTTTTCCTCTTGAGAAAGGCCCGGGCTCAACACCAGCACCGTTGGAGCCAAGGATTATAAGAGAGCAGAAGGGCTTTTTCCTCTGCTTGATTTTGGGATTCTGCTAAGCTACACACAGCCTTATAAGATCACGGCGCTGTAAAAAGACTTGGGGAATGCTGCAACTGGTTTTGTTCACCGACTACTAACTCAAGACCAGATAAGAACGCACAGGCAATATGCAATGCATGGGAACTCTCTAGTCTTAATTCTGTCCTTCCTGCCCCCTGATAGCATTTCTGCACTACTGGCTCTGCAAGTAAATCTGCCCTGGATAACTTTCCTTTAAAGAGGGAAGCTTTGTTTTTCCTCAGAAGGACAAGGTATCAATATAGTTATCTCCCCACCACTTGCATTTGACTGCTAGTGTGTAGTGTTCATCATACCGAGATGTCACTGTTAGAAAAAATTTAATGCTGTAGAACTAACGGGTGAAGAACTCGCTCTTCTCAACTTGTACATTTCTCCTTGCTTTCGAAGTGTGTAGAACGGTGCCTACTTTTAATTATAACTGAATAGCTTTTCTGCATTCTCTGTGCACATTTTTCTCTGCTGCCTCCTATTCTAGATGTTACTTACTTTACTTCTAATGGTGTTATAAAAAGTGTAGTACTACAGGTGTTGTATGGTAACTTGTAAATAAAATTACTATAAACACATGGTCAAGTTATGTGTGGTGCTCTGTAACTGCGTTTACCTTAGCTGTAAATCTTATCTGTGCTTTCCTGAGGAGCTGCCCGTAGCCCTTGGTTACGAAGCCGGTGTCTGCGCCTGAGCACGAACCCTTGCTGCGCCGCTCTGCTCAGCAGGCTGCTCCTGGTCACAGGCTCAGCAAACTGTAGCATTAACAAGTGATTTCTACACAGAGCACGTGCAGCAACATAATGCAGCATAATGTGCTACATGACAGCAAATCAACACCTACATCAAACTGATTGGCTGTGGATAATACATGTTGATGTAAATATCAATTCACATGGAAAGAACACAACATTATTTATGGTTGGAAGCTGATTGGGGAACTGCTGCATTTTGTTCTTGCAGCCTATCAGCTCCAGCAGAAGACTGCTTGTTTCCTATCCAATTTGAGAGGGTGGCGGAAGAGAGGTGGGAAAGGTCTGACCTGGGAAGGAACAAAGCATGCTACATTTTAGTGGGGGGAAAAACACACAGAAAAGCAGATACTCTGTTCTGCATTTTCCTTATGGTTGACACGCAGTCAGAAATGCAGCAGAAGTCCCCTCTCTCTTCTAGAAAACAGTCTCAAGGAGGTCTGGTTAGCACTCAGACATTTTCCATTCCTCCAATTGCGCTTCCCTGTGGCTGTTAAATACAGTCATTGGAAGCCTGATTCTTTTTAAGGGATTTAAGTGAATTAAGAGGCAAATTACTTACATCTGGAAACGTTACTCTAGAAACTCTCGCTTAAGGTAGATCAAACTTCCTCAAAGCAGGAGCTCTGACAGCGTAGCTTGTGGTCTTTTACCTTAAGGGGCAATTGAGGGTATTTACAATAGGCATATTAAACTAAATGAGAGTTCAGAGAGCAAATATTCTCAAAACAAATGTGATCATTTTCAGAATAAAGCGTCAACTACTGAGTGGAATCTCAAACATCAAAAAAGCAACCAAGCCACAAACAAACAGGTACTAGCAAACAAAAATGTCTCAGAGGTGATGCACCTAATGAATGAAATCTTTGTGAGCAACAGAGATCCTCTGAAGGCGCTGTTATATTATAACCCAAGCAGCTTTTGTGGGCAGGAGCAATGAACACTGGGGCACCTCCTGGATAAACATTGCTATCTGCAAACTGCCACGCACCTCCTTGAACAAAGATTAATTAACCATTAATTAACCAGGAAGTCGATTTCAACTCTTCAATTCCTTCTTCAGGATGTCCAAGTGTTGTCGTGCTCTTCGCTTGCACTGGGAATGGGTTCACGGTGACGTTTCTGTGTTCGAGCATTGAAATCTCATGAGTGTATTTTGGTTTTACTTAAATGTATGAATCATTTGAACACCTGGTGATTTTCACTGTAAAAAGAACTGTGACAGCTTTTCAGTGATCCTACGTTGCTGTTGCCTCTTCACTGTACTTGAATGTGGAGGTGGGGAAACATTATTTGCTTTTCTCTGAAATGCACCCTTCTGTGCTGGGTTGTCTTTAGAATCATCTTCAAGTTAACTAGTAAAAATGACAAAAATCTCTCTGTAGCTACTCGTATAGCAAGGGCTTATAACATCTAAAAGGCTTGAAGGAAGTAGATGCGTAGCCCCAGCTAGAGCTGTCCCACAAACACCATTCCCATATCGTACTTGTGATCAACCACAGACTGTCAGCTTCCAGGGCCTAGGAGTTGGCAGAAGGCACCTTGCTGTGGGGGGTTTGTCTGATGTCACACGGTTTTATTAGCTCAAGCACTGGATTTTACACATAGAAATGATCCATATTCTAAAAGTTAAAACCTTTTTATGTAGCATTTGCTATTAGTTTTGCCCGTAGCAGTAATGTTCAGTGTAGAATCATGGAATCACCAAGGTTGGAAAAGACCTCCAAGATCCTGCAGTCCAACCATCCGCCTCCCACCAATATTCCCCACTAACCCACATTCCTCAGTACAACATCTAAACGTTTCTTGAACACCTCCAGGGATGGTGACTCCACACTCCCTGCGCAGCCCATTGCAGCACCTGACCTCTCTTTCAGGAGATACAATTTTCCTAACGTCCAACCCGAAGCTCCCCTGGCACAACTGGAGGCCGCTCTCCCTCACCCGATTGCCGGCTCTGTGGGAGCAGAGGCTGACCCTCACCTCACCAGCCCTTCCTTTCAGGCAGCTGCAGAGTGACCCGGCCCCCGCCCCCCCCCCCCCCAGCTGCCCCTCGTGAGACTTGTGCTCAGTGTCCAAATTCAGGGCCTAGACTTATGGTAGTATCCAGAGAGAAAAAGAAGACAGAAGATTGGCCATGGAAAAGATACAGTCATACTTTCTGTTCAGCTTCCCGCTAGCAGCCTTGTCTCCATACGAATCCAAAAAGTGTTAAAGGAAAAATGCAACTGTAGTTTCAACCTCCGCTCCACGCCTCCCCGGCCGTTCTAGGAATTGCGGCGCTGTTAAAGCCGTAGTTGTGCCATCTGCTGGTTGGAAAGTAACCATGAGTATAAATTCCGTAAATAAAAAATGCAGCAGAATGACTGTGAAACACGGTGATTAAATAGCAAAAGTGATAATGCCCAGCATCCTGAAAAGTGTTCTGTAGCGCTGTAGCTGCATCTGCTGTCAAAGGGTAAGCTAGCAACATTTTAGGGCAAGAGTTTACCTTGAAACTGGGAGTAAACAGTTTACATTCTGATGTGGCAGGGATTTGATTTTTTGTTTCTTTCATTGTTTGCTTTTCCTATTTGCCTTTTTCCTAGTTGTCGCTATCAGACTTCATGCAGTCTCTTCTTCGTGTCCCCATACCTTTCCACTCTTCATACTTACTGATATCAATACCAGAAAAGCAAGTCAGGATAAAGGACAGCAGTGTTTTTCACACTGAGAGAAAACGGGAATATATGAAGAAAATACTAAATTGCTGCCGTGTTTTAAAACCCCTGTTTGTGTGTACGTCACCTTCTCTCTTGTAGTAATATCCAAGGAGCTGCAAATCCTGTCTGCTGCCGCAGCGATGTGCCTGGCAGGAAGTTTCTGGATGCTGAAGTTGAGTATCTTGCTGGTTCTAACAGTGACTCTGAAGGCCATGCAGTGGTTTTTATTCACTGCTTCCCAGTCTGCTCAGTACGGCACCCCACCAGCTGCTGAATTCTCTGAGCTGAGAAAAAAAGCAATACTGCTGCCCTGATTAAAGATGGGTCACTTTGCTCTGTGTTCCTGTGCTCCTGCCAGAGCAGCTGGTTTGGTCTTGTCTCGTGCCGTGCCTCAGTGAGCAACGCAGAAGACTGGAGAGACTTTCTTATTAGAGATCCTAGATAAGATGTACCACAGAGGTGAGGCGCTGGAACACGGGTATTTTTGAGGCTCTTGCCAAAGAGGATGGCAGAATAGTGATTTGATGAGGATACTTGTAGCAAAATAGCAAAACCCAGGATGCAAAATAGCTTTAAAAAAAAGCAAGCAAACAGCAGGCACACCTTTGGCAGTCGGGTGTGTGGTACAGCACTGATACAACTTCTTTCTCAATGTGTGGGTGCAGAAAAAGATGTTGAAAACATCACAGGCAATATTTACACAAAAGAGCTGAGTACAAGCCTCTCCAAAACTTAGGTATCAATTCAGATGGCATTGCAATATTTGAATTTAATCTCTGTTTTACCAGTCCTGTCCCACTGCACTGCTGAAGGAGAAGCAGCAGCATTGCCTTTGTTTTTATTTTAAAGGATTATTACTGCACTCTTGGTAGCTTTCACGCTTGCTGCTGGCTGCTGATGTCTCCACCAGATGTAACACAGCCTTTTGTAGCTTCCTCCCACTGTTGATGCACTCACTCAAAATGCAAACTATGCTGTGGCTGCGAAGGTGAGAGTCCAGCAGCCAGATCACTCTCGTCCTCCCCTGCTCCCTTCCCTGTGCTGCTTTGCTGAGCTGGTGGCTGTGCCAGACTCAGACAAACCTGTATCTACCAGAGCAGAACACAAGTATTCAATTGCTGTGTGCATGGTACATAGTTCAGCATGTACTGTGTGCACAGTGCCTTCTGGCCAAGCTGGCCAACATGCTTATTTAATGCAATTATCTTCTGGTACAAGAGATAGCAAGGAACTCTTTATGTGGAACAATGGTCCAGCTGTGAGAAAATCGATTTAAGAAAGAGACTTTGCTACTATTAAGTCACTGTGTGCCAACCTTGCAAACCTGCACTTATTTTCAGATATTTGAGCGCAGCTGCAGAGGACACAAAATGGAAATCTAGATGTGGAATGTGCTCTAGCTTTACATACACATGAAAAGGTAAGGCAGCTTTGTTACCAATGGACAGCACGGTTACTCTGTGTGCCTTATGGAGAGACTCTTCTTGACAGACACGTTTTGCTGAGATCTGTGACTCCCTAGAAACAGGCACTTGCTTTGTCTCTACGTCATGTGGATCTGTTATGTACCTTTGATATTAAGACAGTCAAAATAGGTGTGTAGTTAGACTTATCCTGTTGTATACCCAGCAACCAGCTCTGTATCAGTCTCTGGAAACATGATTTGTGTGCTCTCTATTGCTGCCATCTTGCTTCCCAGACAATGTTTTGTAAAGAGAGATGGATGCAGATTCTCATATGATCCTCAGAAGCTCTATGCAATAATATACAAGGTGATACATAGCAGAGCAGCAAGTCCAGCACACGCAGTCAGGTCACTGCCTTCCCACTGCCAACACCGAAGCTGCTGGCAGTGACCCACTCACTGAAGGAGGGGTGTAGTTGTGCTGTGCACTGCAGTGTGAGTTTTGGTATCTGTGCTGTGAATAAGGGACCTGTTGAGCCGTGATGCAGTGATTAGTTCAGATTTTGGCTGGCTTCTGTAGTTTCTGTTGCCTTTTGTCTTCTCCTACGCCAAGTTCGTAGTTTGAGTGGTCAAGCTGTCAAACAAGGCAGTTACTGAACATACTTATTCAGATTCAGGGACTGCAGGATGAGCACAGGCAAGAGTCTGTCTGAAAGTTCAGATGCT